TGGCTGTATAATCAACGTGATCCTGCAATCTGTACATGGGGGAATAATAAGAATTCATACCCCATTTGAAACAAATGTATGATATATGATATGTCAAGATCAATGTAATGTTTTGAGCAACCAATAAATTTCTGATGTTTAAAATAAAAATGAAAATAAATTTATAGAAAGATGGAAAAGTATGATATGTTAAGTGTTAAGATTCACATAGATATCCATTAGTATGCACATACCTATCACAAATACATGCACATGGATAAGGTGGTATTCAGGACTGCCCCTCAAGCATTTTACAGTCCTGTGATTGATTCTTTATTTAGAATAATAAGCTACAAGAACCTCCTATTGGAAAACCACAAGTATGGAAATTGAGGTGACAGGAAGAATCTCCTGTGACACCAAGAAAAGACACAAGTAGGACCACTTCTATTGGTATTTGGGAGTTGAAGACTTAAAAAAATCAAACCAGTAAGAACAAAGCCATTATCTAGTCTAGGAAATCAGAAATATATCCCATTTTACTGAAACTTTATCATATAATCTGAGTGAAATTTTAGAATCCCAAATCTAGGTTATTGTTCCTTGGTATAGGTCCATACTGATGTTTATTTTTGACTCTGTTCCATCTCTTAGCTGCTGATGGCCCAGGAGATCGTTTCATCATTGGGGAATCCCAAGCTGGTGAACAGGTAAGATTTATAGACCTGAAAAACACTTGTGATTTCAGCTTTATGAGTTTTGGGGCTCTAATTCTAAACTCCTATGAGCATTGTGAAAGATCTTAGAGAAGGATTACTCAAAAGACTATCAAAGAGTTGAAAGAATGGTAACCTAGAAAACCAAAATAAGTCTCTCTTAGAGAATCCTCATTTACTAATATATGGCATAATTTTGATATATCCCCCAGAGACTGCTCCTCAAGCATTTTCTAGCCCTGTTATTGAGTGATTCTTTCTTCCTGTAAAAATACTGATTTTTCTGGTTAGAACTGGATCTCCTCAATGCATGGATGCTATAATAAGGAAACTAGGGTCACTATTATTGGCATCATCTTTCTGTGTATTTCCTTAACCTCTCCTATTGTTGATACATATGAAAGTGCATGTTAAGCCAAGGAAGAAATAGTTTTTGCAAACTGCCACCTTTTTTAAAAATATGTCTGTATATTTTTCCATTTGTATTTTTATACAGCGCTTATGAGTGCTTTATATTAGTGGTTGAGTATCCTAGCCTAGGAGGAGGAAGCTAAGCAGTCTATTGCTGAGCCACAACCCCAGCTAAGCCTGGTACTATAGTTATAATACCTTTGACATGTTACACACAGCTGACTATAGTCCCTATGACCATTTTGCAAACAAAAGAATAGGTAGGCTTGATTCTTTTTTATAAATGACTTACCTTGTGACTCTCAATTTATTTTACTTCTTAGTACCTATTTCCATCACCAGTGGACATCTAAAGAAATCATTTTTATAATAAGTCCACAGAGCAGGAATTATTCAAGGAATACTTGCCTAATCTTTAGTTAAATCCATCCATCATTTTATCAAGGACACTATGTGTGTGTATACCTGCTGCTAGGTTCTGGAGATAAGAATACATTAATACATAATTGCTACTCTTATTATGAATAGACCATATACAACTAAATGTAAGAGAATATATTAAGTGTTAAGGTAATGGTATCACTCAAGTTCAATGGACCACAAAACCGAAGTTGAGCACTTCAGCATAAGCAGAGTAGAGAGATGGAATTAGAACCTTATTAGAGTTCTGCAAAAGCAGAAATGAGAAAGGGGGATTCTAGGCAGAGAGAACAGCATGAGTCAACGATCCAGAGGTGAATTTAAAAAATAGTTACATGGAATGCTTGTGAAACTGCAGATTATTTGTGGTAGCCATAACAGCAGATTAGGGGCCTTCTGAACCTCTTAAACCTTATTAAACTAGTAGTTAAGACCGCCAACTATGCTAGAGACCTAGAAGAAAAGAACTATAAAACTGCTTATAAGTTCTTATAAAACTTTTACAAGAAAAAAATCAAAACTCTACTCAAAGTGTGTTTCTCTTTAAATTATCTATAATGTCCTTTATCTATAATCAATGTGTCACACATGCTTTATAGCAAACTCAGAGAACCTGCAAGAGCCAAACTGCTCACCTACTGAAAGTACTTAAACTTGACCATTGGAATGCCATATATACAATGAGACAGTGATTTTATAAAATGATTTCTTGACCTTAAATCACTTATAGTTTGGGCCCATTGATTAGCACAATTGTGTAATTATAAAGTGCTATCTTTAAACAAAGCTCAAAAATCAAACTCAGTACTTTCATTAAGGAAAAGTCATATTTCAACCATTTTTACATTTATACAAAGCATATAAAAATAAAAATAAGGAGAGAATAACTGCTAACCTTAATAATCATTGGTAAATATTGCATATATTGCTGGAATGTACCATTTTAACTGACTTCATTCAATTGCTGTTTATATTGTCTACCTAAGTGAATATATAAATGTTTTTTATATATCCAGTATCTTTAAGATGGGGTTAATATATGTCAGCTGGTAGGAATCCTTGACCTACCATTTAGAATTGCTGATCTAAGATAAAAGCCAATGTTTTTATTCTTAATCACAGAAAAAACATAAGAGTTGTTTTAAGCCAAGAATAAAGAAAATTAAAAGCCAAAACACAATAAAACTTTAAGAAAATTTCCAGAATACAGCACATTGAATCTGAGTACTTTGAGGCAAAGATATAGGCTAACAAAGTTCAGTTTCAGCAGCAACTACCCTGAAATCCACTTAAGAATTCAATTTCCACCAAGAGTTTCTTTAGGCCTATTTTAAATGCCATTTTTCCAAAACCTCAGAAGATAATTTGGCAGTAATCCCTCTTCTAAAAAAACACATATTATATGAAAATTTTAAATGCTTTTTCATCAGAAAAATACTGTACCACAAAATAGTTATGTATAGTGGATTAAGAGATGCCCCAAACAATATGTGGTATCTGGAATTGAATAACATAATTTTTAAAAAACGATGGACCCTCAACTTTTCATTTTAAATTCTATGCATTATTTTGGTGGAAAATATATAAGTATATTCTTATTATTACATTAAAATGTAATAATTCTGAATAATCCTAGAATGTCTTTTGTTCAAATAAAGAATAAAAGGATCTAAGTTACATAACTTAATGCCAGATCTGATCCCAAGCAGCTCTTTCTCCAAGACTGTGAGGGAGAAACAGGGAGAAAAATGGAATTGTAAGCCAAGAAACCAGGCACATACTTCATGCAATTGTGATAATAAAATATTGAGTATTCATTCAATCTAGAAATATTTGATTACCTATTATGTGCTAGACACTTATAAGCCTTAGGATGATAAAGCAATATGTCTGGAAAAGGGGAGGTTAAAGAAGATTAATTGCGGAACTATTTCCAAAATATGGATAAGGATAAGGGAACCCAGCAAAGGGAAGTCAGCACCTTGGTGTTAACAGCAGTAAGGTTCTTTTACCACCTCAAGATCTGAAAGAGTAAGTGAAATAGTGCTACCTGAACTTCCAGAGATTCATAGCTATAGAACAGGACCACCCAAAGGGGCTGTGGCTCTCACTGAGTAGAGGTGCCCTAATCATCACCAAACTATAGCCCAGCAGGAAAAGTACAAAGGAAATGAAAACTCTGCTTGTCTCTCTCTTCTACCCTCTAATCTCTTGTTAGCCTCTCCCATTGGCTGAATCTAGACAGATGCCAAAGTGATGTGAACCTGGTTAAAACAACCCATCAAGTTCAGCCCTTTAGACCACAGCAGAAGTTATAAGATGATGTCATCAGGAGAGGCAAACAGAAAGTGAAAGAAATCTCTGCCTTTATAGATTTTATGTTCTAAAATATATAATACATTTAATACTATACCTAGCATAAACAATGAGTTCAATAAACACTAGTAATTGGTGGCATAGTTTATGACAGTGATATTATAGAGAGGTTTTTAAAGCTTTTCTAACAAAGAAATATCTAATTTTACTTTGATTGTACTTTCAGTGGTGAGGTGGGGTATTTTTCTTTAATCAGTCCCTAAGTTGTATGTATGTGAATGAGAGAGACAGAGAGAGAGGGAGAAGGAGAGATTTGTGCATGTGTTAAAAACACATTACATTAAAAGTCCTGTTTAACCATATTTAAGCATATAGTTCAATAGTGATAAGTATATTCTTGTTATAATGATTTAACATTTTAAATACTTATTAAAAAGGTATCTTTTAAATTAATATTGTCTGAGGATTTTCTTTTAGGGGAAATTTGAAGCATTCATTTTTCCAAATCTGACCTAAATCATAGCCTCAGACAAGTGATTTTCCTAAAGTCTGATCAAGTCTATCAGATGAATCATACAGAAATATGCTTTTCTTCATGCAGTGAGAAGTTAGCAGGGCAGGTCCTATCTCTTATACCAACCAAATGAGAACTCTTATTTTTAAATTTAAAAAATAATGTTTAATACAGATCATTACAAACACTGGGTCATTTTTAAATGATGTTATTACTTTTGTCAGATGTTTAGTATTAATTAAGTGAACTAATATATTTTGGAAAGTTTTCTAGACCAATAATTAAAATGCTTTTCTGACTTGCCTTTATTTAGCCAGGAAGTTTAGATAATAAAGTACTGCATTTGCCAAACATGAAAAGTTTATGACATTACAAAGGTGCTAGGATTTCAGTATTGTTCCTATCATATGGCCTACTTTTTTTCCTTACAGATTGTCAAATCACTTACATTAAGAAGGTTCACATTATTGAATGAGAAACAATAGTGGCAAATATGACAGTTCTTCAAGAGGAGAACAGGGTGCAAAGAAAGATATCTAATAGTTTTTACCTTAAAGTATCTATAAGTCAGCTTGGGTGTGAGCGTACCTATTTGTAGGTAAGATCTATTACATTGGCCCAAAATGAATAACACTATAAGACTTTTTTTCATAGTTTGTATCTGAAAATGTTACATTCCCTGCATATTTTCCTTTGCAACAGCAAGATAATCAACAGTCTATTTCATATTTGTATTTCCAGCCAACTCAGACAGTAATGCCAGGACAAGTTATGAGAGTTACAACAGGTGCTCCAATCCCCTGCGGTGCTGATGCAGTAGTGCAAGTGGAAGATACTGAACTTATCAGGGAATCAGATGATGTACGTAACCACCAGGTCTTATCATGTTACTGTTCCTAAGGCAATATAAGAAGTCACACCCATTTTTTGCAATGTTGATGAGGTTAATCTAGTTTGAGGGGTTATGTAATGTTTGGGTCTCCAATAAATAAGAAATTGCTTTAACATTCAAAAATCAATCTTTTGTCATAGGAGGGTTCTTTTATGCTATTGTTATAGCTAAATTTGAAACATGAGTAACCAAAGAAGTTTCACGTGCAAACAAGGAAAAAAATAGTGATTTTAACAGTTGACGTGCCTTGCAGCTGAGAAGGGTGTCATTGAAACCAGCTTTTGTAAAATGTGAGTGATGGAGTTCATGAAATCAGAATTTAATAAGGAAGAATTCAACTAGGAACCCTTGGGCAAGTTCTTGAATATTACACTAAGCCAAACATTTCAACCAAATGACCCTTTCTCCTTTGATTTTCTTCAGTTCAGGAAAAAGTTATACTATCAAAAAGACAGCCTAGAAATATTGAACATATATTAGTTTCAAATCCCCTCCACCCATTCTCTCAAATAAAGGATGCTTGGATGTTTTGTGTTCTAAGCAGGCCTTTTTCTCACTGAAATTAGTGGCAATTATTGAAGCCAAATTATCAGCCACTGATACAGGTAGGGAAGATTCATGTGAGGTTTTAATGACTGGCAATCTTACTTGTTTTGTGAAGAAGTTTAAGATATCTTATTTTTTAAGCAGAGGTTAAAAATAGATATTCTCCTAGATTGGTGAGATAGTAAAATTCAGTCTTGCTGAGAGCCACTTTTCTGGAGATTTTCTTTTTAATCACCTTCCCACATGCACAGCTTATAAAATTCAACTCCTGGCGTACACATCACAGTGCCTGCTGTTAAAGCTGTCCACACAGGGATTTATTTGCATCAGGGAAGCCAGCAGACCATTGCAACCCAGGACACATGCATCCTTAGACTGCCAGATGACAAGACATAGTTTCAATATCACGATATTATTCACAGCCAATAAATATAAAATCAGTGATCATTATTAGTTTATAGAAATCTACTCTCAGGCAAACTTTAAGTCCTTCACTAAAATTTCTGCAGATGTTTGAGAACCTTAACATGGTTTGAATTGGCGATTCATGGGAACTGAAGAGGGAGAGATTTCCTTTATGCATCTTCATTTTATGTAGGGTAGGCATACATCATATACATACACATATATGTATATAAGTATATGCATATATATACACACATATTTACATATTCACTCCTTGAAAATGCTACTCACAAGTAAGATTCAATATTTGAATTGATATATTTTTAGAAGCATGAAAATTATAGAGAATGTTTATTTATTTATTGACACCAAACTACTAAATTTTTAGGAACCTATATTAGAAATTCATAGTATTGTCAAAGAGTTAACAGATTGTTTTGTGTTTCTCTGTAATTATACATATTCTGGGTCTATCTGATGACAAAAGTCAAAGAAACTTAATTCTACTGAAATTTTGTTAGATTGTTCTATTTGAAATTATAAGACCTGCTTTTATTATAGGGTACTGAAGAACTTGAAGTGCGAATTCTGGTGCAGGCTCGACCAGGCCAAGATATCAGGTAAATTCATTATATACAGAATATATAGCCAACTTTGATTTCTACACGATCATAAACTCAGGAGAGCATGTAACTATTACATATTCATAGCTATAGCAATTAGCCATAATTGCTATAGCTATGGATTTATAATAGTTTGCTTTCAAGCTTTAACAAGAAGCAAAATGGATTGTCTGAATTCTAAATCCAACATCTTCCCTGCCTACTTTTTAATGAAGATGATAAAGGTGAATGAAATAATCAAAACCAACATGAGAAGGTAAAGTCATCATAAGCATACATAATCCACATTTAATTCTACCCCTAAATAATCCATAAATACGCAACCCCACCCCTGGGTTATCTAGAAATTTGTAGTAACACAGATAATCCCAGACCTGGGTATTCACATAATTGTCTGATAGCACATCCTCCACTAACTACCCTTAAAAATGAAATAATCAAGGGCTGGGGTTGTGGCTCAGCGGTAGAGCGCTCACCTAGCATGTGTGAGGCCCTGGGTTAAATTCTCAGCACCACATAAAAATAAATAAATAAGTAAGTAATTGTATCCAACTACAACTAAAAAATAAAATATTTTAAAAAATGAAATAATCAAAACAGGCACAGTGGCAGATGCCTATAATTCCAGCAACTTGGGAGGTTGTGGCAGGAAGATCACAAGTTCAAGCCACCCTTAGCAACTTAGCAAGACCCTCGGCAACTTAACTGAGACCTCTGTCACCTCAGATCAAGACCAACTTAAGTGATCCTAATGGAAATTACTTCTATCACTATAACCTCTTTGTGTAGTCTCATCACAAAGTTAAACAGCTCTCTAGCTCTATTAATGCCATTAGATATTTTTATATAAATCTTTGCCTTATACCAGAGAAAGTTTGCAATTGACATTTTTAACAATAGTATATTGCAAAGCAATCTGTAAAATAATTTTCATAAATGAAGTAAAATTTCTGTTTAGCAGAAATAGATAAAAATCTTATTTCTGTCTTCTGTTGTGTGTCTAACTTTTAAAATTAAAAAAGCATACAGTTTTTAGAATCTGTTCATTGTTTTTTTCCTGCCTCATTTCTGAATATTTTGTCCCCTAAGATTCTTTCTTCTTTGACACTAAAGTTTCCCTCTGAGCTGAGAAAATTTTATTCTTAGTCATACTACTTATGGATCTGTTTTGATTTTTCAGACCCATCGGCCATGATATTAAAAGAGGGGAATGCGTTTTGGCCAAAGGAACCCACATGGGCCCTTCAGAGATTGGTCTTCTAGCAACTGTAGGTGTCACAGAAGTTGAAGTTAATAAATTTCCAGTGGTTGCAGTCATGTCAACAGGAAATGAGGTAAAAAAAATTATATATATATGAATATGTGTTTATTTATTTATTTATTTTTATCTATATAGTTTTTTTTATATTATGGGAGGGTTTTCAAGGCCATTTCTGACACCTGTTCTGTGTTATAAATAGAACACTGTAGATCATGTATCTTACCAGTGACACATTCTGGTAAGAGGGAAATAATAAGTTGGCCTTAGGATAATTTGGGTAAAGATAAGAAGAAAGCACTAGTAATTACAGGTTAAGAAATATTTCCTTCCATTTATTAGAATGAAATATTGCAACCAATGGCATTTCCACATACTCAGTACACATAAACAAAGAATATTAGCTGCAAGCTACAGATACCAAACTGTGCATACTCAGTACTTAGTCTATTAAGACAATGACTTGTGTCTGTCCTTTGGCTGAAATGATAGGCCACCTCTGTGTGGAAAATAAATCAATGAATTAGAATACTGTGGCTAACCGGTTTTCTTGTTAAAGTTCCATGTAATCTTTGACCACCGATAGGAGTTTGATTATACTGTTTATTTTTCTCTATCAATAGCATCTCTAGTGGCATGCTCCTCTTAATGGACCAAAATTTTAAAATCGCTGACTTTATTCTGAAAGTAGTAGCCCTTTATTAGAATTATTTTTAAATTCTTGAAGTCATGGAAATGAAAATTTTTAAGGTCTCTCTATGATCCTTATAGTTCTTTTGGTTGGGGCAAAAGAAAGAATACAATCTTTGGTTTTACTAATGGAGACCTAAATCAACATTCCTAATTTGATTATTCCCCAAATAGTTGCACTAGTTATTCCCTAAAACTATTGATTGATCCAAAATAAACATTGTTTTCATTTTAATCTGTATAGTTTTGATTTTGATCTCTAAAACCAACTAGCACTATATTTAATATAACATATATTTAACAGAAAGAAATTTGCTTCTAAATTCTGCAATCTCTGGTTCCATATTGCTCGACATTTCTCCCCAAGTCTTATTCAAAATTAGCTATTGTTATGACTGTCCATGACTAGGTAGTTTATTTCAATAAATGTTTACTGGGTACTTTTATATCAGGCACTACACTGGAAATTGGTGATTAAAGAGATAAATAAAGCATAGTGTAGTCTCTTCTGAATGCTTGAGATCCTCAGATACCCAGAAAACAATAACAGGAAAAAAATTTATTTATTTTTGGGGAGACCAAAAAAGTTTTGCACTTATCTATTAATGCGGTAAGACTACATAATTTTGCTAGTCACAGTGCAAGCTCCACTTAAGTATTGGTCCTGATTTCCCTTGATATGTATGATCTACTTCTCAAATCCAATGTGATATATTGGTGAGCAGGACAATTGCTTAAGGCAACATAAGAACATTGTACAAGTTGTCTAAGTAACCAGGTTCATGGCACAACATTTGTAATTTCAGCTATTCAGGAGTTTGAGGCAGGAGGATCACAAGTTCAAGGCCAGCCTCTACAACTTAGTGAGATGTTGGCTCGAGATTTAAAAAAAAAAAAAATTAGGAATGTACCTCAGAGGTGTAACCCTCTTTGTTTCAAAAGCTAAGGGGAAAAAAGCTGTGCATTTTTGGAACCTGCCCAATGTACTGTAAATGTATAGCCTTGTTAAGAATGAAGGAATTATTTCAAAATTAGGGAAATAAACTTATCAATTCTAATACAGTGTATCCTGTTTAGATATTTATTGATTTCAACAAACTATACATATTAAAAGAGCAATTGTAACAAAAACAGCATGATATTGGCACCAAAATAGACCTGTAGACCAGTGGTACAGAATAGAGAACACAGAGACTAACCCACATAACTTCAGATATCTTATATTAGACAAAGGTGCCAAAAACATACATTGGAGAAAAGATAGCCTCTTCAACAAATGGTGCAGGGAAAACTGGAAATCAACATGTAATAAAATGAAATTGAACCTCTGTCTTTCACCATGCACAAAACTCAACTCAAAGTGGATCAAGGATCTAGGAATTAAACCAGAGACCTTGTGATGTGGACATGTATTCCCAATCTCACACATTTGTTCAATGAATATATATCAAGAATCTACTACACACCAGAATGTCCACAAAGGAATTCTCTAATTGAACATTCAGCTGGAGGACTAGGGAGTTAGCATCAAGACCTCAGTGGTAGACCCCATGCCCAGGATTTGTGAGGCCTTGGGTTTGATCCCCAGCACTGAAAAAATCAATCTGACTGACAAGATGTAAATAAATTATATATATTTCTTAATTTTTTTATTCTAATTTGTTATATATGACAGAGAATGCATTACAATTCATATTACACATATAGAGCACAATTTTTTATATCTCTGGTTGTGTACAAAGTATATTTACACCATTACTGTCTTCAAACATGTACTTTGGTAATGATGTCCATCTTATTCCACCATCATTTCTAACCCCATGCCCCTTCCCATCCCCTCCCACCCCTTTGCCCTATCTAGAGTTCATCTATTCCTCCCATGCTTCACCTCCCTACCCCACTATGAATCAGCCTCCTTATATCAGAGAAAACATTTGGCATTTGGTTTTTTGAGATTGGCTAACTTCACTTAGCATTATCTTCTCCAACTCCATCCATTTACCTACAAATGCCATAATTTTATTCTCTTTTATTGCTTAGTAATATTTCATTGTGTACATGTACCACATTTTTTAATCCATTCATCTACTGAAGGGCATCTGGTTGGTTCCACAATTTAGCTATTGTGAATTGTGCTGCTATAAACATAGATGTGGCTGTGCTCCTGTAGAAAGCTGTTTTTAAGTCCTTTGGGTATTGACTGAGGAGAGGTATAGCTGGGCCAAATGGTGGTTCCATTCCCAGTTTTCCAAGGAATCTTCGTACTGCTTTCCATATTGGTTGCATCAATTTGCAGTCCTAAGAGCAATCTATGAGTATGTCTTTTTCCCTACATCCTTGCCAACACTTACTGTTCTTTGTATTCTTTGATATTTATTTTTTAGAAGTAGTTGGACACAATACCTTTATTTATTTATTTTTATGTCGCACTGCGGAGCGAACCCAGGGCCTCGCACATGCTAGACGAGCACTGTACCACTGAACCACAATCCCAGCCCTCTTTGTATTCTTAATAGCTGACATTCTGACTGTAGTGAGATGATATCTTAGAGTAGTTTTGATATGCATTTCTCTGATTGCTAGCGATAATGAACATTTTTTCATATATTTGTTGATTGATTGTATATCCTCTTCTGAGAAGTGTCTGTTCAGTTGCTTGGCCCATTTATTGATTGGGTTATTTGTTTGGGGGAGTTCTTTATATACCCTAGAGATTAGGGTGTATAAAGGCTTTTTGAATTCTTTATATACCCTAGAGATTAGTGCTCTATCTGATATGTGAGGGGTAAAAATTTGCTCCCAAGATGTAGGCTCTCTATTCACCTCACTGATTATTTATTTTGCTGAGAAGAAACTTTTTAGTTTGAGTCCATCTCATTTATTAATTCTTGATTTTAATTCTTGTGTTATAGGACTCTTATTAAGGAAGTTGGGGCCTAATCTGACATGATAGAGATTTGGGCCTACTTTTTCTTCTATTAGGCACAAAGTTTCTGGTTTAATTTCTAGGTCCTTGATCCACTTTGAGTTGAATTTTGTGCATGGTGAGAGATAGGAGTTTAATTTCATTTTGTTGCATATGGGTTTCCAGGTTTCACAACACCATTGAAGAGGCTATCTTTTCTCCAAAATAAGTTTTTGGCACCTTTGTGTAATATAACACAATTGTAATTTTGTGGGTTAGTCTCTGTGTCCTCTTTTCTGTACCACTGGTCTACAGGTCTATTTTGGTGCCAATACCATGCTGTTTTTGTTACTATTGCTCTGCACTATAGTTTAAGGTCTGGTATAGTGGTGCCACCTGCTTTACTCTTCTTGCTAAGGATTGCTTTAGCTATTCTGGGTCTCTCATTTTTCCAAATGAATTTCATGATTGCTTTTTCTTTTTTTTCTTTTTTCTTTTTTCACAGACAAAAGACTTTATTTCTGACAGCAAGAGCAGTAGCGAGAATATCATCATCATCATTGCTTTTTCTATTTCTGTGAGGAATGCCATTGGGATTTTGATTGGAATTGCATTAAATCTGTATAGTGCTTTTGATAGTATGGTTATTTTTATAATATTAATTCCGCCTATCCAAGAGCAAGGTAGATCTTTCCATCTTCTAAGGTTTTCTTTGATTTCTTTCATTAGGGTTCTGTAGTTTTCATTGTATAGGTCTTTCACCTTTTTCATTAAGTTGATTCCCAAGGTGTTTTTTGGTTTTGTTTTGTTTTGTTGTTTTGTTTTTTTAGGCTCTTGTAAATGGCGTAGTTTTCCTCATTTCTCTGTCAGAGGATTTGTCACTGATTAGAAATGCCTTTGATTTATGGGTGTTGATTTTATAAATCCTGCTACTTTGCCTAATTCATTTACTAGTTCTAGAAGTTTTTTGGTAGAACTTTTTGGGTCTTCTAGGTATAGAATCATATCATCATCAAATGGTGTTAATTGGAGTTCTTTTCCTATCTGAATCTCTTTAATTTCTTTCGTCTGTCTAATTGCTCTGGCCAGTGTTTCAAGAACTATGTTAAATGGAAGTGGTGAAAGAGGGTATCCCTGACTTGTCCCAGTTTTTAGAGGGAATGCCTTCAATTTTTCTTCATTTAGAATGATGTTGGGGGCTGGGGATGTGGCTCAAGCGGTAGCGCGCTCGCCTGGCRTGCGTGCGGCCCGGGTTCGATCCTCAGCACCACATACCAACAAAGATGTTGTGTCTGCCGAGAACTAAAAAATAAATATTAAAAACTCTCTCTCTCTCTCTCTCTCTCTCTCCTCTCTCACTCTCTTTAAAAAAAAAAAAAAAAAAAAAAAGAATGATGTTGGCCTGAGGTTTAGCATAGATAGCCTTTACAATGCCTAGATATGTTCCTGTTATCCTTAGATTTTCTAGTGTTTTGAACATG